CTCCGTTCACATGATTGTGTGGTGTGGGTTTTTTTTTTTTTTTGTAGTACATATCATCATTACATATGCGCTTGTAAAGCCCCAAAAGCAATTTACTAGCTAGAGATCATACCATGCATTGAAACACATTTGGGACATTCCGATAATACGTGCACATTTTTAAGGAGTTAATAAAACATTAGCAGTTAACAATTGCTACAGTGAAGTTGAGTAGGTACTAGCTAGAGAGAGAATACATATTAGGCATTGGTATGGCATTAGCTATTTTTTTGTTTTATATGTTAAGGGGAGACGGATAAACAAACAAAGTGCAGAATTTTAAAGTAGGCATTTGGGTTTTCTGCATCTTTACGAGAAAGCTGACCAATTTAAAGGGGCACTCTGTTTACCAGAACTACTACAGCTTAATGTATTTGTTCTGGTGAGTATAATACTTCCTTGTAGGCATTTTCATGCAGGAGGCAATGTAAACACTGCCTTTTTAGAGGAAAATGTTGTTGTGTTTACATTGCCCCCTAGGGACACCACCTGTGGCTACTGAACTTTCCTCCTAGAGATGCATTGATTGGGGAGGTGCTGATTGGCCAAGGTGGTGTTTGGCCCTGCCTTCTTGCCGATATCAGCCAATCCAATGCTTTCCGTATGGCTATATAGTTACAATTACAGGTGCAAAAGTGTGCGATTCCATACTCTGTGTTGCATTTACTTTATGTATTTTCCTTTTTAGTTTTGGGAACATGATGAGCAAGGAAAAGAGAGATTCTGTTAGTAAAGAAGACTTGGCAAGAGCAACTTTGATCACAATAACCAATAACATTGGTTCCATAGCACGTATGTGTGCAGTCAACGAGGTGAGGCAGAAGTGGGCAAAAACTTTCACCCGTTCTATACAAGCTTTGACATGTCTTCCTGCAGCTGGTGTGGCTTATTTAAGGCATCCTCCTGGCGTCCATTTGTTTGCCATCCTAGTGATCAGACATATTTACCTTTGTCAAGCCTCCATAATACCCCCTTCTAAGCATAGCTCACTTTTCCTCCCTGTTTCTGCTCAGTCCAACTTGTGTGAAGACTTATTGCTTCCCTTTTATTTCCTTCTTCCCACCAGTGATTGATTCATCCTTTAATTTTATTTTTCCAGTAGCTAATATTAATCTAGTTGGGCTTCTACTGGCACTAGAGTTTCATGTGTGCATTGGATACCAGTGCTGTTTAAGAAATGTAAAATGAATAAAGTGACCGATTAAAGGGGCCTATATATCTTTGTATAAAATGATTAAATGTTGCCTGCCCTACTGAATGCTGCCTGATACGCACTGACTGTTGCTCTGGGCTTTCAGCTTCTTTACAGTGCTGCCTTGTAGCTTCTATGTCAAGCAGCATTGTACAGGGCTATGAAAGCGCTGAGACATAAGCATCGCTCCAGGCTGAAATTGCTTTTGTCTATTTTCTAGTTGCGTGTGTGGTTTGTGTGTTTTTTTTGTGTTTTTTTTTTTTTTTTGTTTTTTTTTTACACATTTCATGTAGATGACCTCATTAAAGGAAATGCCACAAGGATCTATGAAGCTGAGAGACCAAAATTACACAAAATTCTTCCTTTTTGCAATTTTGGTCTTTTAGGGAGACACTATAGACACCCAGACCACTTCAGCTCATTGAAGTGGTCTTTGTGCACTGTCCCTTTTGCACTTAGTGCTGTAATGTAAAACATTGCAGTTCCAAGTTTGCCTCCAGTGGCTGTTTACCAGACAGCCACTAGAGGGCTTCCTAGATCAAAACAGACCTTTTTGTTCTGGTATCTGACGCTGGACGTCCTCACGCTCTGCATGAGATTATTTGTAATTTTTTTTTTTTTTCTCACAGAAAAGCATTGATTCAATATTTTTCTATGGGGAGATCTAATGCGTGCTGCGACTGCGCATTAGCGCTTGCTCGTCTTACTTGGCGTATTAGCACCCTGCTCGTACTTGGTATTATTAAGGGAAGTCAAATCCTCCCTCCTGACCTTGCCTGCTGCAAGTAGGGGCATGTCTACTAAACGGTTATCTATTAGATGTTCCACCATGGGGGGCATGTGGGACCTGTGCCAGGTACCTCTTCATTGGCTGGCCAGTTGCTAGTCTTCTTACGACAGCTCACTGTTTAATAGACATACCCTTTCCCACCACAACCTCCCTTATACATGCCTTAAGCGGTCCCTCATGGCCAGCAACATCTTCATCCTTGAGATACTCTTCGGCTGCTGTCACAGAATTTATCTTTATTAAACACTAAGAAGTGACCACATCTCTTACTTTTAAATCTATTTCTTGGACATTCCATTGATGTGGGTTTGCAGTGCTACTCTTGCTCCTATAAATATTTAAACACTGGTGCAATATATTTTACAAATCCTAACTACTGTTCTCTTGGCTTTCTATTAGAACATAAACAGAGTGGTGTTTGTGGGAAATTTCCTCCGTATTAACACAGTGTCCATGAAGCTCCTAGCATATGCATTGGAATATTGGTCAAAGGGACAACTGAAAGCATTTTTCCTGGAACATGAGGTAATGAGGGTCAATGTAAAGCTACACTGTTGTCTAAACTTATCCAAACACTTTCCCCCTAGCATAATGCCACCAGTGGAGAGAAGAGGTACACAAGAGGGCTGGGGGGGAGGGGGGAATCTTGGGGAATATACACACCTGGCTAGGGGGAGAAGGGAGTATAGACACACCTGGTTGGTGGGGAAAGGGGGGGGCAAAGGCTTGTAATAAAGAGATGCACAGAATGCTTGGTGGAACAAAGATACACAAAGGGAAGGTCTGGGAGAAAGAGACCCACAAAGAGGCCGGGAGAAAAAAGACCTACAAAGCTGGTTGGCAATTAAAAAAAAAAAAAAAAAAAATATGTTTTTACTTAAAGTAGCTGGCCTCGCTAGGGCGCCAATTAGTCTTGCACCGGCCCTCTGTATATGTATAATCACAGTAATTGCCAAATGGGTGGCTGCGCTAAGATTATACGATGGATGTACATGTGTACTAAATTCCCTCCTACCCAACAGACATAACTGTTTTATCCTCCCTGTTATTGTCCCCTTCAGCTTTTTAAATTGGTGGTACTAACAAAACCAAACAACTTGGCTTAATAAAGCCATTTTGGTGCATAGATGAGGCCTTTGCAATTGCACTGCTTACACTTCTGCCTTTTTAGGAGTGAAATCACTTTGTTTATCCAGCTTTAGTCACCTCTCCCCAGTATGTGACCTTCCTAAGCACTTCCTGTAAAATTTCCTTTATTGCACAGGTTTTTTTTTTTTTTTTTTTCTTCTAAAGGGACACTCCAGGCACCCAGACCACTTCTGCCCATAAGAGTGGTCTGGGTGCCAACTCCCACTACCCTTAACCCTGCAAGTGTAATTATTGCAGTTTTTATAAACTGCAATAATTACCTTGCAGGGTTAACTCCTCCTCTAGTGGCTGTAGACAGCCACTAGAGGGCACTTCCTGGTCTATAGCACAGGTTTTCTGTGCTACAGTGTCGCTGGACGTCCTCACGCTGTGTGAGGACCTCCAGCGTTGCTAAAACCCATTTTCAATACTTTCCTATGGAGAGGTTGTGTATGCGCATTAGGTCTCCCCTGCCGGC